AATTGTGATACTTCAATTGACTGCTTCGATTATCTTTCACTTCAATCTTCCGGCTTAAGTCAGATGCTACACCGAACTTGATTCTCTGAACCACGTAGAATACATATCTTAGTCGGAATCGATATGATATGACCACTAGGTTCGGAATAATAATCATCTTCTTAGTTATTACCGAAACGATGGTAACAACAAACATTAGTAAAACATAATCAATTACTAGCGCCTTGTTAACCATGTGACTTTCCCTGATCCAAGTGCGAGTTCTGTGCTTTTGGTAGTATAGGCCAATACTACCTTTCACACCTACTCATACTCGTCCTAAGTATTTCCTATCAGTTCACCAAGTCACCATACAAGAATTCCACATAGTCATTTAACACATCAGATAATATAACTAAGGTTTATATTATTTCTTTAAATGATTACATAATATTCAAGTTGAGCCTACATTATGCCCTTATATTAGGCTACATCACACGATACTATCTATATGGATACTTTATAGATCCTTTCTCCTAATCCCTTGCATCGTCAACTGCTTTATCAAGGACCATCTGGAATGCTCTTGCCTTTGGCTTTGGCGCATTCAGTCCTGCTACTTCATTTTTCTTCAGACAATCTTTTGACATATACCCCTTTTCTCCACATCTGTAGCTTACCTTATCATTAAGCATACAATCTCTGTATTAGTGACCGATCCTCCCATACTTGTAACAAGTCACTTCTTCGTATCTCCTATAATGCTTCTTCTTGCACTTTTCACACCACTTGGCTCCGTACTTTTGGTCATCCATGTTGGACTTCGAGAATCTTCCTTTCTTATCAGATCTTAAGGATACCTCAATCTTCCTCTTTTCTCATGTATTATCTTTTTCTAGACCCTTCTCTCTTATCTGGGTTTCTACATTCTTAGCTGCCTAGATGACGACTTTCAAGGTGATTGCTTGTTTGACCATTGGACCAAAGTCTGTAGGTAATCCATTGGATAACTTGTTGACCTTGGAGATTTTAGTTGGAACTAAATAACGAACAATCTTCATATTCTCCATAAAACTTTCGGCATACTCGGTGAAGCTTAATCTTCCGTTCTTTAGGTTCTGAAACTCGTTGTTGATTTCCAGTAGATCCTGCTCAGAGCAATATTGCATTTTTAGTTGCACCAAAAAGTATTCCCAAGACATTTTACTAGCATCTCCTTTGGGCATGGTATTAGCTAGTAGCTTCTAGCAACTTAATACCCAAGTCTTCAATAGTGTTACCGTGAGGGCAGTCTTGTGTTTATTGCCGCAGTCACAACTTTCAAACATCATCTCCATCTCGGAGATCAATCCATGACTTCCACCGGTGTTGGGCTTCTAGAAAGACTCGATGGTTTGGATGCCATGAAATCCTTATACATACATCCACGCCCATCATTTCCTTCATTGGGTAGGTTTCTTATAACCACTCCTGGCTCAGCTTGATTGACAATCTGAATATCTAACTGTTTAATGTTCGGTTCAGGTTGTACAATGGGTACAATATGTTCATCCTTATGAAGCAACATTTACATCATCTCATCCCTTTGTTTGGACATCATAGCGCTAATCATTGCTTAACTCCCGCCATCGTGATTGGCTCAGGTGCAACGGCTACCTCTAGTGCTTGCTCAATTACAAGCCACTGATTAGCATTTACATTAGCATTTTCGAATCCGCTTCGAGTTCCCACCATGTCGATCTATACACCAAATCATATATTCGGTGTGCAGTGACGAGAATTTCAATTAGGAAAGCTTTATTTACGATAGCCGTATAAATCTCCTTATCATTTCGAAAAGTTACATATCAATTTTATTGCCGTAGTTAAACGTTTAGAAATTTGAACATATAAAGTTTCTAGATCTAGTTGGCAACATACCATAGATACAATAAAATAATGGCATCATAAAGCATTACAAATCATTTAACACATAAAATCATTTTAGGCATCTTCCCTAAATAAGTTAGTGCTTGTGTCTATTCAGGTGTACTTCCTAAAATATATTAGATACACTACTCACGATCATCGCTTATCATTCGAAGTTTAAGTCTAGAAATAAATCCTTATTCTTAGATCGCTTAAACTAATGTTCTGATACCAACTGTGACATCCCTAAATTCACAGTCATTTTAAATTTTTTTATTTATGCTTATTTAAAAACCTTAATATCCATTTTAAAGAATAATATTATCGAATTTGTTCCCAAAAAACATGATAAGTATATTATCAAATAATTTATAAAGAAATGTATATTGTTTATATTAAAACTCTGGGATGCCATCGTCAATAAAGAAACATAATCATAAACAAACATTGCATTCATTTACACTAATGATTTACATCTCTGTTAATCTCTCAGTGTAATGTAGCTTCATATCGATGCCTGTGATACAAATGACTTCAAGTTTTTCGACAAAAACTTGAAGTTTCAGGTCGTATTTGATTATTTTATGAACAAATTTCATGCTATTTAGATGTTTTACGACCATAATAATTTTAATGGGGTATAATTTATAGCAACAAACATCTTTATTTATTTCATAAGCATAAACAAACCTAACATTAATTTACACTAATGATTTACATATCTGTTTAATCTCTCAGTATAATGTAGCTTCATATCGATACCTGCGATACAAATGACTTCAAGTTTTTCGACCAAAACTTGAAGTTTCAGGTTGTATTTGATTATTTTATGAACAAATTTCATTTTATTTAGACAATTTACGGCCATAATAATTTTAATGGGGTGTAATTTATACCAGCAAACATCTTTATTTATTTAAGAACAAATCATTTCACAGCACTATAAAGCGAATTCAAGTTTTCGACCAAAACTTGAAGTTTCACCTCGTATTTGATTATTTTATGAATAAATTTCGTGCTATTTAGAGATTTTACGGCCATAATATTTTTAATGAAGTGTAATTTATACCAGCAAACATCTTTATTTATTTCAACATGATAATAGTTTATATAAATATAACAGGATAACAAAAAACAAAGTGCATGAACATTTTTTTTGATAGTTGAACTAGTTTTGTTTTCGTAACCACATTCATAGATTTTTGAATTATAAGATTATTATGTATTACCATATTAAATTTTAGGGATAATAACTTCAAAGGGTAATATATTTTTTAATTTTTTTTTTCGTTCACATTTACTCATTCAACTTATTAGACTGTACACATTTAGTTTTTATTATCGGTTACTCCAAGTTAACTGATAAAAATGATTTAATAGGGTAATGTATTTATCACTTTGTACACATTTAGTCCTTAATATTTTTGTATACTTTAACTCTTTATATATATATATATATATATATATATATATATATATATATATATATATATATATATATATATATATATATATATATATATATATATATATTACAACATAAGCTATTTTTGTTTTTGTATTTATTTAATACTTATAAATGATGTCTTTAGGTTTTCTTGCATCTTACGTAGGACAAATCATTAATGAGGTTTTTGTGGTTTTTGATGCTTATGTCCATCAGGATCTCGACTACTTGGTTACTTAGGTCATGTGTTCTAAATGTTATAGTTTGTTCATACGATCTTGGATTTTAACGATATTTATATCAATGCGTTCGTATTTTAGTCTATTATAACTTTCGTTTAGATTACTCTTAATAAAAAATAATATATATTTACTTATGATCTTTATATCTATACGTTCTTTATGAATGCATGTACGAAAGGTTTTTTTTTTTTTTTTTGTTTTAAATAAAATCATAAATAAAAACATATTACATTTCAACGGGAAGAATCTTAACGAAAGTTGGAGTAAACTAAAAAAACGAACATGTGGATATAAAGATCGTTAAAATCTGATATTGTATAAAGAAGTAATGACATTCAGAACACATGACCTAAGTTAAACCACAAGATCTATGCAACCACACAGTCAAGATCGCGATAGACATAAGCATCAACGACCCTAAACACCTCATCGATGATTGTCTCTCGTGAAAAAAACCTAAAGAAATCATTCATAAGTACTGAATTTTGAAACAAAAAAAAAAATATTAAGGACTAAATGTGTACAAAAACATTAAGAACTAAATATATACAAAATGCAAAATATATTACCCTGTTAACAGTGACAAACCTTAGTGGAGCGCGGGGGTCCTAACCACTGTTCCGATTCCAGCACGTGGTGTAATTTTTTTTAATGTATTTTTTATGTTTTTTCTATTAGGTGCACTGACTTAGAATACAAGTGCTACTACTAATTTAGGTTTATTCCGAATTTTTTTTAGTGTCACCTATACTAAAACATTTTGCATCCGCCATATGTAATCATTTTAACCTATTAACCTAAAGTAACCGGTCATAAGAATCGAATGTATACAATTTAACAAATTGAAACGGTAAATATGGAAAAAAAAATAAATGAATAAAAAAAACTCATTAACCAAACGTATATTAATCAAAAAAATATATTACTTATCCTAAATTTTATATAAATTGTAAGACATCGAAATTAAATGTTATATATTTTAAATTGATTGTGCCGAATAAATAGGATGTTTACACGAAACATCCGTGCCTAGGCTATTATCAACACCTATGTGACTTTGGTAGGTTAACGTCTTATATTTGTTAAGATGACATCTGAAGAATATAGATCGCAAAAAGTTTAGTCAACGATAATCTATGCCCACATGTGGTTAAACCTATGGTTGAACTTGATGATGACTTTGTACGTATAGATATTTATGATAACAATCTATACAAAAATCAAATTACAAATATTAACTTTTAAACAAAAAAAAAAAAAAATCTAAAATCTTAAGAGTTGAGATGAAATGAGCAATAGTGTTCTGTCTGACGCCGTTATCTTTCGTTGAACGCGTCTCTCGAGTCTCACCAATCGTCTATAAACCCAAATCTTGGATCTTCAAATATCTTTCTCATCGGTCGGAAAACTTCAAAAAGCAAACCATGAAAAGCAATCTACCAGTCCTCCCTGAACGGAGGCTCTTCATCGCAATATCTGCCATCGCACTCATCGGCGCCGGCCTCCTTCTATTCACCTTCATCGGCCCCGATAACACTCGGTTCTTCTGCAACCAGCCCACCGCCGATAACTTCCATCCCATGACGGCTCCGATGCAACTCAAAGCCATCCTCCACTACGCCACTTCTCGAATCGTCCCTCAACAATCCTTCTCCGAAATCACCGTCTCCTTCGACGTTCTCCGATCGATTTCCCCTTGTAATTTCCTCGTTTTTGGGCTCGGTCATGATTCATTGATGTGGGCGTCGTTTAACACCGGTGGAAAAACACTTTTCCTTGAAGAAGATCCGACGTGGGTTCAGACTGTTCTGAAAGACGCTCCAGATCTCAACGCCGCCGTCGTTAAGTACCGGACAAAGCTCTCCGAGGCCGACGAGCTTATGAATACGTATCGATCGGAACCGGAATGTGCTCCATCCAAATCTTACATCCAGGGAAACACTCGATGCAGGTTAGCACTCACAAGTTTACCTGATGAGGTTTACAATAAGGAGTGGGACATGATAATGATAGATGCGCCGAGGGGTTACTTTGCGGAGGCGCCGGGGAGGATGGCTGCGATTTACTCCGCCACTGTGATGGCGAGGAACAGGAAAAAATCCGGCGTGACGCACGTGTTTTTACACGATGTTAATCGGAAGGTGGAGAAAGATTATGCGAATGAGTTCTTGTGTAAGAAGTACCTAAAGCATGCTGTCGGACGATTGTGGCATTTTGAGATACCACCGGCAAGTAACATCACCGGCGGGAACGACGGTGCTTGGTTTTGCTAGGTTGACTAACACGAGTCAGTGGTTTTTGGCTTTCATTAGTTTTTTTTATTTACCATTTTAAACGTTTTTCTTTCTTCTTTCCCCAACTCATTATACCATTTACCATTTGCTCTTAATTTTAAAATAAATTTTTTATGTTTATTAATAGAGATTAATAAATATTGCTTCTTCGTTGATAAATTTGTTTTTTTGTTAGGTATGGACTTCGATAAAGATAAATTTATAAAGTCGACTGAAACGTCGACTGAGAATTGATAGAGTGACATATATATATAATACACCGAATGTGATAACTGAATCTGAATAAATGATTATTTTAATCTTTAAAGGTTAAAACTTATTATTTATTTAATAACTGTTATAAAATATTAAATATAGTTGTAGAATATTAAAAAAATAAAATTTTTTAAATAACAAAGTAATTGACTTCAAGTGACAGAATTTTTAACAGGTTTTAATATCAAAATGAATCTAATTACTCATTATAGTAGATTAGCAATCCCATCATGCACACTCGATATATATATTATGTGTTTTGAGTAGCCTTTGTGTTCTATACGATTCTACTCCACGTTCTAAAAAATCTTCTACATTGTTAAAAATATTATCTTCATCGCCCTCTAATGAATATTACTTTTGCTTATGAAATTATGTATTGCAAACAAGCAAACACTACAATTCTTTGTATTGTAAACAGACAAGGATCTATTTGTTTTAGAATCGGAATTTTGATTTCACAACACCAAAAACGGTTCAATGATATTTCTTAGTTGTGTATATGAATGATTGAATTTCTCCTCCTTAGTTAAAGCACATCGACAATGAGAATCGGCTGACCAAAATATCTAGTGTTACGATTAGGAACAAAAATCGAGTGAGTATCATGCATTGCTGATGATTATGTTTTGATATCAGCTATTTCTAATACATTGTTTTGTGACTCGTTTTCTGGCATTAACACTTGTTATTCTATCTTTATGGAAAACTGATGTTTTATTTATGTTTTGTAAAATAAAAATTAGGTGTTAAAAGTTTAGAACGTTACGAGTTAGTATCTGATGTGTATAGAATTTGAATTTATGAAGTGTCAATTATACATACTAACATTAATTGTATCTAATCGTTAAGTAGTATAGTAAGGATAAATATTGGTGTCCATGATTTGATTTAACTTTAAAACATACTACTGTCTATGATTTGATTTAACTTTAAAACATAAAGTAAAAGCGGGGAGGGGGGGTTATTATGAAAAAACATAGATTCAAATAAAGCTAAAAGAAAATAGAATAAGACAATTATTGTAGGTGGAATGGAATTTGGTTTCAAATCATCTTTTTCGGTTAAATTATTGTAGGTGAAATGGATTTAATAAAGTAATTACTTATTTGTAAGATAGTTAACAATCTTGTTCAGATTAATTAATACTAGTCTTTAATGAATCAATATAAAGGCTAATTTTGATGTTCATAAGGATTAAACCAAGCAGAATACAGTAAACTAATACTCTTTTAAATGCTTAAAGTTAAGGATTAATGTTACCTAGCCCTTAGATTTGTTTAATCATTATTTCTAACAATTTATTATCACAAACCAATTAAAATACAAGTTCATATTATGAAATTGATAGTCTAAATCATATAAACAGATGCCAGCAATACAAATCCAAACTTTAACAAAGATGTGTAGATGATCAATCCAAAAATAAAAAAATAATCTACCTTACATATCAAAATCAATAATTCACACTATAATAATTTTGTTCATCTACATATAAACATCTACATATAAACAGAAGAAAATGGTTTTAGCCCATCATCTCTATTGAAAAAGATAATACAATGGTTAGAATAATGCTAATTTTATATTGCAATCATTTCTTCAATTTCATTGCTTTAATCTTCACAGAAATGTCTTCAGTCCTGTTCTTCAACCTTGAAAACGATTCATGGTGTTTATTTTTCATAGTAGAGAACTCTACTTTTTTTTGTACACCGAATTGCGTTGCAAAATCACGTATTGATAGAAATAAAATATTACTCCGTTACGCTTTCATCTTCACAGTACTATGCATTATCTCTCGTGACGGTTCTCGAATCTTTAAGCCTTTTCACGACACTAACCTCATTTGTCGCGACGCTAAGATCATGTTTTATGATAGCTTTAAATTTAATCCATATCAACCCCATCTTTTTCCAAATCTTCTTAATCATATTAGCTTCAAATTAATCTATATTTATCCAATATTAAGTCTCAATTATCTTTAAATACAACACTGTTGAACAATATATTAAGACAAATGTCTCTAAATATATGACTAATGTAGGCAATATCAAAATACCATACATACACTTATGCTTTGTTGACCTTCAAGAAGATGTTAGGCCATATCCTCAAGATATTTTAGTCAAATTTCCAAGAAACTCAAAATAAAAGAAAAACAATGTAAAAAAGAAAATTCTTAAAGTACTTCAAAGTTGCAATTTTTGGCTAAAGTCTTATCATTTCATCTCTTTAACTCTTATGGACTCAATGCTTCAAACGTTTTTTTATTTTTTTATTTTTTTTATTTTATTTTTATTTTTTATAAACTTTTCTATTTTTTTTTAATAATTTTTTAGAATATACTTTATAACTAATGTGAAACTCATGACTTTCAGTTAGGGCTGTCAAATCGGACAGTTATGTCGTGTTTTTGTCTGATACGATACGACACGATAAGGTTTTGTATAACACGAACACGACACGACACGATGTTGTATATTTTTTCATTAACACGAAAATGAACCAATTAAAACACGACAACACTACATGACACGAAAAATACAATATTATACAACTATTAGTGTATTTCATTCATATTTAAAAATAAAAACACGATAAAAACGACAAACATGAAAAACCGGACAACCACATGCTTAATCGTATCAATTTCGTGTCGATTTATGAACACGAACACGACACGACACGACATCGTATTTTTTATTCTTGACATGAACACGAATTCAAATTTTGATTTCGTCCCGATTTCATTTCGTTTCGTGTATTTTTATCGTATCGTGTCATAAATTGACACCCTTACTTTCAATGAAGTCTATGTAACGACATTCTTCTCAATGAATTCCAAACCAATTGGCTTGTGGTTATTAAATGTAAAACATCATGAGGGGGTAGTAGTCAAACTTTTAAGGCCAGTTTATCTCCTAAAAAAGATAAAACTTTAAAAATGGTTCCTGTGGTTTTCAAAAATATCAAGTTTAATTCTTAAGTTTAAAAAACCTCACAAATGGTCCCTGTGGTTTCAAAACTTTTAACAAATATTCATTTTCGGTAACTCCGTTAGATTTTGGCCGTTAAGTGAAGGGTATTTCTATCATTTCACTGCCACATGGACCATTTATGAAGATTTGTCTTATTTAAAAAAAACTAATTATTTAATTATTTAATATTAAAGGGTATTTATGTCCTTTTCGTCCCACCCACCCTCTCTCTCTCTCTCTCTCTCTGTCTCTCTCTCTCTCTTTCTCTGGGTGCTTGTTTCCCGCAATCCGACCTCAAATCGAGCCCTCAACAACCACAGAACACGAAATCAGACGGATCACACTATTTCTTCACTCTTTGCGTACCTTCTTATACAAAATCCGGAAACGATTCGGATTTCGAATATGAGAGTTTGTTAAATTACGGGCTAACGATTTCGAGTAAAGGTCTGGAGAAGGAGTTAGAGGAGTTTGATCGGGTTTTAGAAGAGTATAATGCATTTTCAGTGAAAGAGGTCAAGAGGAGTGTGTCGGCAACGGTGGCGGTGGATAATGGTGGTTCTGTGGAGGCTAAAGCCGCATTGTATTGGACGACATTAGCGCTAAATGTTGAGGATTACAGTGGGTCTGTTGCGAGGATGATTGTTGCGGGATCAGATCAGTTAATCAAGGGAATTTTGTGGTGTGGGGATGTGATGGTGGATCGATTAAAATGGTGAAACGAGTTTTTGAAGAAGAGGACGAAACCTGGTTCAAAAGCTGAAGTTAGTCCAAAAGCTTTGAAGAGAGTGAAGAGGTATCATCTTGTTTTCTTCTACAACATTACTTTTATCCATTGAACACTTCTAATTCCATATCTATTCAATTTCATTTTGTGTCACAGTTAAGAGATTGACAAAGATGTCAGAAGGCGTAGCAATCGGGATTCTCTCTAGTGTTGTGAATGTATCTGGATTCATCACAGGCTCCCTCGTGAACTCCAAACCCGACAAGAAGTTCTTCAACTTCATCATCATTTTTGTTATGTCTCCCTTCTTAAATCATCATTTTTGTTACCATAAATAATTCTCGAATCATTTCTCAATTCTGTTTCTGGGTTTTTGTTCGCAGATAAAGTATGTGAATCCCTTGAAGTTGTAGGGAGAGAGGTGATGACGGTGGATCTGTGTGTTGTGATCGGAGTAGAGTCATGAAGTAAAGGGGTTAACAGGTTTTTGTTCGCAAAACCACCGTCTAAATACCCTTCACTTAACAGGTTTTTAATCGAAATAAATGGGTTGCTAAAGGGAAGGGTTGACGGTAGATCTCTGTGTTTTAATCGAAGTAGAGGCATGAGGTCACTTACCTTGGGCGGTGTCACCTAGTGGTGATGATGGCAGAAGGAGCAATAAAAGCTTCGATTCTAATGGAGAAAGTGGTTCGACGTTTTTGAGAGAGAGAGAGAGAGAGAGAGAGAAAGAAAGAAAGAAAGAGAGAGAGAGGGAGAGAGAGAGAGAGAGAGAGAGGGTGGGATCCTTTAATATTAAATAATTAGTTTTTTTAAATAAGACAAATCTTCATAAATAGTCCCTGTGGCAGTGAAATGACAAAAATACCATTCACTTAACGGTCAAAGCTAACGGAGTTAATGAAAAGGACTATTTGTTAAAAGTTTTGAAACCAAATGGACCATCTGTGAGGTTTTTGAACTTAGGGACTAAACTTGATATTTTTGAAAACCATAGGGATCATTTTTGAAGTTTTGTCCCTAAAAAAACATAATAAAACTACACACATGCTTGGAATTTAAATTTCAGCCCTTATTGTATACATAAATTATTAAACATAAATAAAGCAAGGGAGAAAAAGAATTAACTCCTATATAGCGGTGAGATTACATTAATGATATGTTGCTTTATAGATACTATGCTTGATTCTCTTTGTGTTTGACTTAATATTGGAACTCAAGATATCATTGTTGATTTGTTGGCTACTAATTTGTTAATCTTGTGCTAAATATATCTGTTAAAGCTCGAAATATGTAATGGTTAGGACCTATTCGTGTCGCTAAAGTAAGCTATTCATGTTGTTAAGAGTCTGTTTTAGAATTCTATAGTCGCAATGTATATATGTATTGTCACGCAAGTGTCAACCTGTCGCATTGTGAATATCTAATTCTTCACCTTCTTAATATATTTTTTACCATTACTTTTGCATTCAATTAAAAAAGAAATTCAAGAAGTGGGAAAATTGGAAAAACTTGCACTACCAAAGTTTGAAACATCAAATACTTAACTAAAAACAAGAAAATTCCAAAACACTAGATTTTTTTTTTCAAACCAACGGTCGGGTACTCGGGTTGCGTCCCACTAGGCGTTTTTGTTTCTTTAGTCGTGAGCCGAACTCCACCCCTCCCATATATCTATTCATTTGGTTTGATGAGTGTTTTTTTCCTTTATTCCGTTCATCACATTTTTTCTTGTACTTCATGATTTTTTATAGACTTCTCGATCATTTTCCTTACTTAAACTCTCTTCAAATTTGTTATGCTTTTTCCTCGTACAATTTCTCTTTTCTTTTTCTCTCTCACACTTTTCCTTTTTTTGTTTTCTTTTCACTCTTGGACACATTCCACTTGTGGCATTTGTATGCACTAGTCACAACCTTGTTATAGTGGCACATCAATTATGGGTATATATACGAGATCATCACCTTTAAGCTTCTCCCCTTTAACTATTTTGGGTGTCAATAAGTCTCGTTTGCTATTCACGGTGTCTCTAGGCTCTTCATTCTCACATTCCTCTTGGTACTCCTCCTCCATGACATATTCATCATCATAGTAATTAATCAACCCCTTATTTATGTAATGAACCAAAGTTCTCATGTTCTTTTCTATATATTCTTCTTGAATACCTCCATGAGAAAGATAGTTATATTCCTAAAATCTTGCATTAGATGTTCATACGAATTATAATTGAATATCTTATTCTCCTTATTCTTCTTGTCCGATAATTCCACGAATCTAACTTTATCTTCTATGTCAGCTTCAATGTCATAAACTTGGTTATCAAAATTTTCTTCAATTTCCTTAGAATTTGTGAAGCTAAGGATATCGAAATCGCGACACAATGAATATTTTTGTTCGATTAAATCTTTTAAATTTTCATCTACTTTCAACATGGTATTGGTAGCATCACGACGTAATTGCACATTTACCTCTAAGTCCATAAATCTCCTACATTCTTCGTCAGCCAGTTACATTTCCTCTTCAAATCTTTATTAGTCCAAGGTTCTTCCTTCTGTAACTCTGGCATTATCTTTTAATCCTCCTCCTGAATGCATCAACATGAAATATTTTACATTTTCCCTTTTTAACAATATTTTCTTCTATAACTCCAAAAATTAATTCTTTTGATCCCACTCATAAAACGATCTTTAAATTACTCACATCGACCAAGGCTCTAGCGATGATGTGAATTTGTCTTTCTAGAATAATGAGAAGTTCCTCATCTTCCTCCATCTCAAAAATTACAAAGTGAATCAGAAAAATGAAAGGTCCAATTTTTACCATCACATCTTGCACAACCCCCTTTAGGTAAATAACCATTTTTTCCATATGTATTGTCATCTTTGTGTGTATAGGGTCTAGTAGTCCCAACTTCAAGTAATATGACTATGACATCAAATTCACACTAGCACCGAAATTAGTGACTTCATTTGTCTTTATAGAATTTCCAAACTCACAAAGAAGCATGAGGCTTCCTGGATCTGCCTTCTTCAATGGAACCTTGTTAACAGTTATACTCACCAGTTCGTCCATTCTATTTTTGTACCTTCTTAACTCCTTGAGGAAAAAAATACATAATTTGGTATTCTGATGAGCCCATCAATGAAAGCAATATTGGTTAGCCCAATCTAATTCATGAACATTTTATGTTCTTCTAATTCATTCTTCATTTTTCTAGCCGGATATGGTAGCGGTAAGTGAAATGTTTTCAGAGTTTAGATTCTATTTCCTAGCAGACATTTCTCAGTGCGGTGTATATTGTATCATGGCACAAAAAGCTAATGAGTTGCACTTGGGTTTTCTTTTAGTTTATAACTAGATATCATCTAATATATTAGTGGAAATAAAGCTTACAGAGTCCAGAAGAGGTACCTCCAATAGTTGTATCTGCCTTGACTTGAATATACGGGTTTAATTTGTGAAAACCCGAAATTTATTCCGTCATTTTTAAACCCTTTTTCCGTTAATAAGACTCGTTACATTTAACTGTCCGTTAACTTTTGGACTGATTAATAAATTTGGGACTTTTTGAATGACTTTGTGAGGGTTGAAATAAATTAGAAACACCCCAAATTTTTCCCTTGAAAATTTTTTAGTTTCAACCAAATCAAAATGCGACCACTAAATCGGGTGCGACCAAAAGCCCCGTTTAACGGCAGTATCGGGTAGATTTTCACTGAGCCCCAACTCAAACCCTTATATAAGGGAGAGTAAACTCCATTTCCACCTTTTCCGCTCTCTCTCTACAACTCGTTTTCGAGCCAAAAACACCTGTTTCGAGCCCCAAACTAGTAAGAACTCTATCCTAACTCGTTGTATAGCTTAACTAACATACAAATTCGTGTTTAAAACATCAAATAGGGGTAAATTCATGTGTTTACGGCCCAAGAACACTCTTGGACCGTGAACACCCCTAAATGGGGTTTTTAAGCCCAAAAACCCCTCCAAATTGCCCCTAAGGCTTAAATATGACTTGTGGACTTACACATTCGGACGTAGAACACCTTGAACTATAATTTTGGGGAGTAAAATTGAGTTTACTACCCAAGACATGCTTGGGCCATAAACTCCTCTTCATGGGGAGTAAACTCAAGTTTAAGTGTTAGAAATGCCCCTAAACACCTCCTATGGCCTTGGAAAAATGTCTAGAAGCAATTCCACGAATGTAAAGGCTTTAAACATTTAAGAAACCATGGACTTAGGAGTTTACGGCCGTAAACCCCCTTAGAATTGGTCCATGGGCCGTAAACTCCCATTAAGTGCCCAAATGATGCCCTAACACCCCCATTTGGCTTGGAATAATGCTTAGAACTTTATACTCTTTCATTTAAGGCTGGGAACTATGAAAGAAATGACCACGTGAGAGTTTACGGTCGTAAAATCCTTGTTTATGGCCGTGAACTCCTTAAATGGTCCCTTAAGAGCCTTAAACCCCTTCATATGCATTATATTTGGACCTAGCCTAATTCTATGAATGATATAAGGCCATTTAACATCCTAGAACACTCCCACCATGAGTTTACGACCATAAACTCATGGGGACATGGTCTTAGGGACTTGAACTCTATAAAGAGTTTACCCTTGAAGAGTAAACTCCCTATCTAAACCATACACACCCTTAAAAGTTACCCGGGACACACCAAGCACTTAACCAAAGTGTTTTCCGCACTTTAGGATGTGTATACATGTTTAATTAGTATTATATTTACTAATTGTATGCAAACATATGTTATCATATGTTTAATAGGTCACTAAGTGTGTTCAAGTCTTTACTTGACACCAAGCACCCAACCGACACCTTCGTCGGATCCACTTACATCAGGTGAGTTCATACCCCTGAATTAACCTTTTGAAATGTTTTTACATGTTTTATGGGGGGGGGGGGAATAGAAGTTAAACATGCCAGTTATCATATCAATCACATGTAATTGATACCCCGCATGCACAAGGATT